AGCAGGACTGTAGCTTTTTTGTCTGTGTAGAAGTGATACGCTGTTTGTTTTGATAGTGTATTGTATGTAAACAGTGATACCAATACCATCTTGATACTGAAAAATCCTTCACATTAACACAGCGTCTTTACAAATTATATGAATATTTAAAATCACAGCTTGAATCGACCAAAGCTCTAAACTGGTAGCAAGTGTGATTCGATCCTCTGGCATAACAATGAGGACATGTTTTTCTTTCTACATTCATCAACCTCCCGCTGCTCTCCACTCTGAGAGAATGTTAGATGTCTTGCCAAAAGTGCTGTCTTCCTTTCCTGCTGGTAGAATGACAATTCCCCCAATATGTGGAGTTTGCACCTTCCAGGAATGAGGCAAGTCAACCATAACAACCAGTTGAGCACTGTGGGAGCCCGCAGACAGCTTATATGATTTGCCGACTACTCTGCTTGAGAAAAACAAAAACCAACACAGCGCCTTGAGTCGTACAACCAGCTCTCCATACAGTGCTGATATGCACCCAAGGGGCACCCACTATCCAACCATGTCAAGTCTTGCCTTCAGCATCTTTAGAAAGATTAATGAGCAAGTTCACTCCAGAAGATTCCTTCACTTCCTCACTCACTTTTTAACTAATCCAGGGGGTTCCAGCCATTACCTGAGATGCTAAGTGGGTGAATTTTACTTCAAAATCTTGGATTTGATAAACACTCTTAATCTATATAAATACAGCCTAGTAAACTTCTATAAGATGCAAATAGAGGAAACACAAGTGACAAGATATTCACTAGCTGGGAAAACACGTATTTGTGAACATATAGAAAGTGGTTTATTACATTTGTAAAGGGCTTCTTTGCAGAACAGCCACTTTAATGTTTTGCTTGAGTTGGAACATGAATAAATTTAAGTTTTAGAATCCAGTATATAAACAGTTACATGAAGTAAGCTGTCATACCTTTAGCCCTTGCACCATCTGTCTTCTGCCCATTCTTCATTCCCAGTTGTACCTCCTCATTTTTCTATGCGCCAGCAAGCAAGTCGACTCTGCGATTCCCTCAAGATAGCTTCCCACCTGTCCCACGATAAGTTAATTAAATGGAAAACAAAAACCCAATTAAAACTTAGATGCCATTTTTCTGCTCTTTGCACAGTCTGCTTAAACTGATTGCATGTAGTTCTTCTACTGCCTCCTCTGAAACAAAGAGGGTTCACTATAAGGCTTTGTTATTGTTGATCTGACTCTAAACAGGCAAGGAACATGTAAACAAGATGTGCAAAATAAAGATGAACTTGTTGCATTCCTGTCAAGTGATTAAATGTTTTTCATTTCTAGAACTCAAAGTCACAATGTCTCGATGTAATAAAAGCATTAGGAAAAATCTGAAACCAAATCTTGTCTGTGTAAATGGCCATAGTTTATTATTATTATTATTGCTGTTGTTGTTGTTGTTGTCTCGAACTGAGAAGAGGTAGGACAGATTTTCTTCACATGCTGAAGTCTGACAGACCACAATTATGACCACAGTAACAAGAATCCCTGCAGAAAGTTTTTTTTTCCAAATCTCAAAAACAATGAATATATAAAATAGAATGGATTTATTTTATTATTGTGTAATGCTAAATTTTACAAATCACAAATCTGCATTGTCAGTTTTAATCTACTCTGTTATTCTTGACAAATTATAACTATGTCAGGTTTGCTCGGCCGCTCTGGCCTCCCTCACCTTTCCTACTGTCTCTTGCCCATTAACACTAATCACGTTCACCTGTTCCTCACTCCCTTATCACCAGCTGCACTTGATTAGGTTGCTCACTATATTACCCGGTTTCACTCCTCAGTCACTTGCCAGTTCGTTCTTGTCTCTAGGTCATTTTTTCTCCGTGATGTCTCGGGGGTTTTTTTTGTATATTATTATCCCCTAGCCAGCTACTGTTTTGTGTTCCCCCATGGACTGTTCCTCCGGACTGTGGCTCCACTCTCCCCACACAGGCAGGGCAATGCTCAGTCCCCTATCTGTTCCACGATTGCCTTCATTTCTCTGTCTCTACCTTCAGTAGTCACCATCACCACCGACCAGCCCAGGAGTGACCCAGCCTACACAGCTCGGCCCAGCTCTCCATCTCCTCGCCTCCTGCTGTTGGTCAAACACCCAGCTACTACTCATCGACAGGACTACGCACTATTTCCCTCTGTGTATTGTTACTCTCATCATCACTGTACATAATAAATCACTGCTTGCATCGAAGTCGGCTACCTGGGTCTGCCTCTTTCTCGTTCGCTCACTGACAGGTGCGAACGGCACATAACAAACTACTACAAGAAATTTGAAGGGGAGATTCCTTGAGCTGTCAGTGTGCAGATTTGGACATTATACTGTATCAGGGACCTTCTTCCATTAGTTAAATACACTAGTCAGACTGGTGGACAGGGAACTAAATACAGTATGAAACAACACTTTTAGTCTTGATTGAATTGCGTGACAAAATAGTTACTTCATGTCTTTGCAGAGGCTCCACCAACATTGTCCCTGATCCAATGATCAGTGTACTTTGAGATGATGATGAGACTATTAAAAATTTACATCATAAGATTAAGCTGCATAATCCAAAATGGCAGTGCTTCACAGTTTGATGATAATAACTGGGCACAGCGCTTGTCTGAAGATGAGCTAGCTTCAAACCTGTTTAGAATTGGCCCTAACTAGAACCCTCACTGTCCTCCTCTCCAAGACAAACTGCTAAATGATGTGAACTGATCATTTGGGTTTACTCAGATTAGACACTGGCAATGTCTTCACAAGAAAGCAACTGGAAGAAGATCAAGTTTATATCTACTCATTAGCCGATTCATAAGAAAGACATGATATGACCATTACAAAGGCTTGAAGTGTTTACAAAGACTGACAAGTGGTCTTTCTGGTTTTTCAAATGAATATCTGATGCTGATAATAATGAAGAATTATTATTCATAAGCTCAAGCAGGTTTAAAGCCATAAAGAGTGTTAAAGTGAGAGAGAGAGAGAGAGAGAGAGAGAGAGAGAGAGAGAGGCCACTTCTGGAGAGACATTTCATCATCTTAGACCTTCTGTAATAAATGTTGCAATTACCAATTCATAGCACTGACTAATTAGGTTACAAAAGCACTACATTTATGGTGTGGTGATTTTATTAACAAAACAGACATTGAGGAATATTCAAAACAAATGCCATAATCCCCATCCTCCTATACTACGGTGTCCATCCTTTGCTTAGGAGGAGTTCTGGCTTTGCTAAAACCTTGTGAACATTTTGTGTACATTTGATAAGTGCATCACTCCTGGAGGAAATCCACTGTAGCAATGAGATGGTTACCATGATGCCATTAACTTTCAGTTTCCATGTGCAATCATTTCATGTTCTTCCCAGTAAATGTCAGTAGGATGCAAAATGGTGTCACCGAGAATGCCCTGTTCTTTGCTTGTTCACTGTAGCTGATGTTTTGTTTATCCCTCGTCTCTTTAACCCTCCTCCCACAACCATCTTTCACCCATTAATGTTCCTGACATTTTTCTGCAGGACTGATGCAACCTTTAAAAATGCAAAGCTTAACAGGAGATCACTTGATCATTCACTGACACTGTGTTCTATTGTATGGTAATGCTATAGAGAGGCAAATACAAAAATACAGTATGTGGAAGATTTTGCAGATTTTAATAGGTTATGTTGTGAGATGCACTGGAGCACTGGTTTTAATATCATGTTTGAAAAGGCATTGATATTTTAACTGCATGCTTCACATTAAACTCCCACATTCTCTGAGTTGTTTACAGGGGAATATTTCCCAGTGTCATTAAATCAAATGGCTTGCCAAAACATCAACATTACAAACTGAAAATGGTGCTCAGTAAGGAAGAGTTACAGTCATCATACATTTCTGAAATTTCAGAATTCATTTATCTGGGAAGATGGTATGAAATTACCATTATAACCGTAGCCATCGCTTTGTGTCAGTGAATGCCTACTTGGCTCAGTCTAACATTCAGGGCTCGAAGAATGATGAATGTTGTCAGATGAGCAATTCATTTTGGCAACTCAGGTCAGCCAAGGGAATGAATGGCATGATGGTTGGAAATGATATTGCCATCTCTTTAATTTCCTGTAAACTTGAGACTTCCACTGTGTTAATATTAGAAAGACTGTTTGATTTTATTGTTGAGACGGTGTGAAATTTTCTTTTAGAAAATGCACCAAGTTTAAGTGTTTTGCTGTCTTTCATAAACATTATTTGCTGGTTTGCATATTTTGGCCAATTTTTAATAGCTTTGATTTGACCTATATATACACCACATGAAAATATGTTTAACATGCCAGTGCTTGGTATAATTTTTTTAAGCACAGCTTTAGTGTTTTGTGACCTGACAATTATTTGTACACTTTGACATACAACATCAACACTCCTGATCACTGACTCCTGAGGGCTACGTGCTCCAAAGGTCCAGCAACCTTACAGTTCTCATGAAAGCCTGCACATAGAGAAACAAATCAATTCTGATTTCAATCCATTCAAGAGCTTTTCTAATTTAATGTCTTATACAGGGCTTTAACGCCAGTGCAAATAATTCCAGAGCATGAAGGAGGGAGAATATATATCTATTAAGAACTCATTCAAGTGAATGCAATTTCATTCATAATAAATAAATAAATAAATAAATAAACTGCCATCATAAGACTATGTGATAATGCACAAAGGTTTTCAAGTAATACGTGATTAAGCTGATACTAAGTGGCAGCTGATTTCTCACCTTCATCCTCACATTTTGATCATACACTCATAATCCTACAGAAAACAGAAGAAAGAGAGATTATATTGTTAATCAGAAGTAAGCTGTTGTATGAAGTGTATTATTATGTGCCACCTTTGATATTTTGAATAGCTCTGGCTTATTAACCTCTAGAGTCCCTGCGTCCTCATATGAGGACCGCACAGCTTGGGTTTCCAAAGCTCAGGACTCTAGAGGTTAAAGACTCAAAAAGGAGTTTTGTGTGACAGGTTTGTTTGTTTTTTTTAATGCGGGTGATTATAGAGGCGATTACACAATTTCAGTATCCAATCTCAATTTTAAATTTGTGAATCTCCAACTGGTTTTCTCTCTTAATTTACTAATATTTACATCTGAACCTGCAGCTGGCCAGAGAAGAATGAATTAACCTGTGAATGAATCATCATTTATCCTAAGCCTGAGTGTTCGTCTCCAATGGAATTTACATAAATCCCACAGTAATTTCGTAATAATTTAAATCTAAATAGCAAAGCGCTGAATAATCAACAAGTAATGAGAAGTAAAATTGGTCATCTGTTCACATCTTTCACTATCTGCTTCATCAACAGGCATGGCTGCTCCCATTCATTCCAAACACTCATCTTTAGAGGTCAGTCCCTTTCTCTGCACTTAATTTTACCAAGAGGCATGAATGTTTCAGTTCATACTGTATTACTCCTCACTCCTGAGAATGAAAGGCCAAATAGCAGCCTATCAATTTATTCATATGAGCCATCTCTTCCTTTGCTGCCAGAAATGCTAATTCAGGGTTGATGAGGCTTCAAATTTCATTTTATCGAATGATCAGACAAAAAAAAAATCAATTTAGAATTAATCTGACTAATGATAATTTATCAGTAATTTGAAGGAGTTAATTTTCACAAGGTAAAAAAAAAATCTAGTTAGCATATGTGTGTTTAGCTAAAAAAGATTAAAAATGTTTTCTTTTGTTTTTCGTACACAGCTGACCCTGAAATTGAACAAATAATGCCTACTGACTTATTGGCTGCTCTCATTCATTACAAACAGTCATCCTTAGAGGTCAGTCCCTTTTCCTACAGTTAAATAGAGTGCCATCTAAATGCACAATAACAATATAAATTCATAATCGCCACCTGCTAAAAGTTTACTTGCAATCATATTGCACATATCTCTAGCTAATCAAGCTCGGCTAGCTTCCTTATAAATTAAGCTGTGTTTATTCCCCTCTATATTCTTGTGTTACTGCGGGTGTGAGACAAAGTGAGTTCATAAAGGTGATATCATGCAACCATTTACACTGGTTTGGGCTGAATGTTTTGCATTGTTTTATTAGTGATCTTTTTACAATTTAGAGGCCAGAAAATATTTTTCCATCTTTTCTTAGGCCTGAATGTGAAAGACAAAAATCACTAGCCCAGGCTAACCTCTCTTCCACTAGCTTCCATAACTCAATGCAAGCTCCCACTCAGCGTTTCTTGAGATTTGGAGAGAGGTTGTCTTACATTTGAAACAGAACATAGATGCTCTGGCTTCACTTCAGCTCTTTATATGAAAAACATAAATGACCATGAGGAAAATAACCCAACAATAATAATAATGATGATGTGATGTAATGTAATAAATGATAACTCCTCCTTAAGTAAACTGCATAGTAAAGGCATCACAGATTTATGAGTGGTATTTGATCAAAAGTGGTACAAGAACAAAGCCATCACTGAGTACCTTAATAACCAATGAGAATGCATGTGTTTGGTTGTTATTCAGTTACTTGTGCATGCGGGTGCCGACTATTTATTACAATATCCCTGGTCCAGCTGGGGTCCTGTGCTGCATGTCATTCACCATCTCTGTGTGCTGTTGGCCGCAACACAGGCATCAAGTGCCCAAGAAATGATAAAGGAAGAAAAGCCGAGTTATTTGCACATACATGTGAGTTATTAAGAGAGGAAAGGGACCCACTGCATATGCACAGGGTCCAGATGTTCATGCTAGACCCCTGGTGAATCCAAGCACTGCACTGCAAATAAAAGAACAACAATTAAATACATAACACTGCAGACGGTATTATATTGCATGGTCTGTACTGGTAATCACTATACCGATTTCTGTGACATCAAATATATATATATTGTGCCTCTGATACTATAGAAATGTGCTTTTACTTCATTACCACTGGCTCTAAACTCTGCTCAGAACTGAACCAAAACAGTGTGACAGCACAGAAACAAAACAATATAAATGGCATTTTTCCCCCAAAGAGTTCAACACAGTGATTTCAAGACAATTCTTAAAAGAAAATTGGTTTACTGGCCTGAAAATATTTTCCCAGGAAATGGCCATCTCTTCACTGTCAGGGAGCAGAACCCAACACTTGCAGCTGCCAAGCTTCAGTATCATCCCACTTCCTGTTAGTCATACTCTATGTGACTCTTAGGTTTTCTCTTCATAAAGTCTCAATGAGAGAATGATTACATAGCTGGCAGTGCAAATTATTAGTATAAGCAGCACCACTAAATGACTTTCTATGACAAAGAAAATACTAAACTGTGTAGAATAAACACTGTGGGGCAAACAACAACTTCATAGAAAAAACAGCATTGGGCTCTTGAAGAATGTCACACTGGTGACTTGCATGGGTGTACAGTACTTATTACTGATTCAATGCTATTATGGTGTTAAGTTTTCTGGAATAAACAGTATGTGATGTGCCTGTGCCTGTGCCTGCAGCTGTGAGCCTTACAGATACTTCAACAGTGCCACCTTTTGATCAAAGCTATTAAATGAGCCACTTCCAGACTGTTCACCCATTACAACCACAGTGTGCACTCAGCAAAACAGGTACCTTATTCAAACTGTTAAATTTAGGATAAACACTGGGGGAAAAATACAACTGCCATCATTTCACTGGCTTCCTGTACATTCTAGCGAGGAAAAATCTCTCGGCTGAATCCTTTCTGCTGGCATTTGGCTTTAAGGTCCGAACACTGCTGAACACACTCAAGAGCTTCTTCTGGAGTTTTTGAACAAAGATCCCGTCCCAATATTTACAAACTAGTGAGCCCCCCGGCTGTAAAATCTTTTCAGCCAAGTCTATTAATGACAAACACATCACGATGAGTTTGTCATGGTCCATTTCTCGGAAACCGCTGGCATTCGGTGCCATGTCGCTCAGGATGACATGAGCACGCCCACCGGGGAGCAGCTCCAGCAGCTTGGCATGTGTGGCGGGGTCTGTGACATCGTGACAGGACAGGAAGTGGGCACCTTCTAGAGGCGGTACATTCAGAATATCAATGCCAACAACTGTACCACGAGGTAACTCTGCATCTAGGATAAATGAGAAGATTTCCATTTTGATTAATTAACAGAACTTTTCTGTCATGATCCATTTCATTATTCTGAAGGGCACAGTCTGTCGTACTACAATATGTTATTCTCAGTTCCATTATACTTAACACCTGAGTGATTTTGTAACACAAATAAAACACAAATAAAAGTATACCAGTATCATATGCCTTATAATTTCTGGAGGAATAATGACACTTAAGGTCTGTCAATTGCCATCTAGTAACTATCTGTACACCCTGTTAGGTCTTGTTTCTGTCCCTCTGTCTAAACAAGTATATAAATATTATACCCATCTCCTCAAATCCTGGCTTTCTAGTCAACAGCAATATCATAAAAGCACATTCATCTTTCTTATTTGCACATTATTTTTCTTTTTTGTTCCCTCATTCTTATCTTGTTTACTCGTTGCTTTACGGAAGAACAGTACCTACTCCTCTCACCTGTCCCAGATGAGTTGACTCTCTGAACTGCCACCTGGCTCCAGGCTCCAGGTGCCGCTCCACAGTCCACCACACTGTATCCAGGCTGTAACAGCCTGAACTGGTCATCTATCTCCAGCAGCTTGAAGGCGCTTCTGCACCGAAAGTTTTGCGCGTGAGAAGCTTTGACATACGGGTCTCTGAGCTGCCGCATTAGCCAGCGCTGCTCCGCTACAGATTTACCCTTTAATTTCTTCATTAAAGACAAAGTTGAGTGAATATATCTCCTCCGCGGGAAGAAGCACCACATTGTTTTTAATGTGAATAGTCACGTGTACCGCATGCCTAATTGCGCTTGCGCGAAAAAACAACTTTTCATTGGTTACAAACCAACACAATGTGTAACGCGCATATACATCCTCTTTAAACAGTGACAACAATTGTTCCGCCCTGGGATAGTTATAATTTCTCTGGGCTAGGGCTACTGAGAAAATCAAGAACCTGGTCTTCTTTGAAATCATATATAACATTTATTGTTCGTGTAATTTAAGTACTTTAGATATTTATTTGAATAGCTTTATATAATCTAGAGTGAGTTTTTCTATTTTTGCCAATATAATATAATATAATATAATATAATATAATATAATATAATAGAACTGTTGTTTTCTACTCATTTATTCTGTTAATTGTAAGGTGAATTTCTTCTCAAGCTTCTCAATCAAGAAGCGTATTTTACTGTATCCTTATCATTTATCTAATTATCTTATTACTTTATCTTATCTGCATTTTAATCAATCCTTTATTTTATTTTTTTATACGAAAAGGGTGGAAAGGAAATGCTGTAATAGTAGTAAGTGGTAGTAGTAGTAATATAATTAAAGTAGGCTATGGTATGACAAGACAGTAATCATCACAAATTTACAATGTAATTATTTGTTTTTTATACAATTTGTACTGCAAATGCAGTACATGTATAGATATGGAGAATTTTACATTATTTTCAAAATTATTTATTATCTTAATTTAACAGGCGTGTAAGTGATTTAAACTGAGTGGTTTTTGGCTGTAGAACACATAGGTACGATAAACCTCTGCAGTTTCTAGTCGAGCACAATTTATTGTAGCACGTTCTAACTGATTTAGCAAGCATTTGATGGACCTGGTAATATCAGTATCGCCTTTATCCGGCCCATCCGTATTCTTACCTGTCAGCGCATCATGTGACGACTTCTGTAGGGCTGCGCGCGGGAGTTATTCAATGTAAAATCTTGTATTGTTTTCTGTCATTTTATACTATTTGATTTGCGCATTTAACGGTTTACAGGGCAAAAATTTGTAAGGTAAGGATGTTACCTCACAAGGCACTGGTAAAGTAACTGATCTCGCTGCTGCTTAACTAGTATCTACATTGCGAATTTATGTAATGTCCCAGTTTCCTCCCTCAGGTGAGATGTTGAACTCCAAGCTGCTGACACTGGTGCTGGTCGTCCAGCCGGGCAGAGTGCTGCTGGGCATGAAGAAGAGAGGATTTGGGGCTGGGAAGTGGAATGGGTTTGGGGGCAAAGTTCAGCCTGGAGAAAGCATTGAGGATGCTGCACGGAGGTAAAATAAATCTTTCCAGTTGTCTGTAGGAAGCTGAAACGTCGAGACACCTCCTGTAGTGGCTTTTTATTGAGATGTTCCTTCCACAGTATGGTATACAAAATACATTTGGATGTAGTCAGTGTGATTTAAGAAGCAGGCAGGTTGTGAGGATACAATAAGTTAACAGTTTGGTATTTGGCAGAACCATGACTTATGAAAATGAGCAATAAAATCAATAGAAAACTGTACATTTATAAGCTCTTTGGTACACAATAAAGCATTCATGGTTTTCAAATACACATTTTTAAAATTAGTTTAAGAAAAAAGAAAGTTTGATAGATTTCACAATCCATTTTTCATTTCTATAATGCATTTTATATCATTAAATCACTACACTTATGCATTAATTAAAACATACAAGATATGAGGATGGCAATGATAGCATAGTGTGCAAGTGTTCAATGAAGGATAGAAAATAGGGAAAGGTTTGTGCATTTATGAAGTTTGTAAGCTTGATATAATAAATGAATGTTGAGTCACAGTACTGTAGAAGACAGCTTGTGATCAGCCATCCGCACGAAGTTTATTCCAAAGCTTTATTCCGAAAACCAATTAGGCATCTTGGGCTGTTTTTTCTCAAACGATAAAAAAACTTGTTTTGTGCAAAGAACTTTGTAAAGCTGTGTAATATCTCAAGATTGTGTTACTAACTGTGTCAGGAAGACAGTTCAGACAATGTCTCACTCTGTCTGCCACTAAGCATACTTCAGATTGTGGTTTCCACATTGATAGTTGGTGAAATGACCAAGGGAGAGGTTTAAATCAAGTGTTGTGACTGAAAGCATCTAAACAGAATCTGTTGGTGTACTTTTGAGCTGTTCCTCTAAATCCTAAATTAAGACAGGTCTCTGAAGCTACTGTCATTATAGTGTTTTACTTTATTTAGAGCCACTGCAGCAAAATAATCTTGTGAACTCAAAGAGTTCACCGCATCTCAATGTCTTTCTTCATCAGTGAATGTAGCTAACTCAGTAGAAAAATAGTTTTGTGTCTAATTGGCTAAACACATACAAATTGATTGTGTCTGAGAAACACTGATGTCATCAATTTATTTAGCTTCTTGGCTTGGCTCTGACTGTGCCACATGTAGTGTGAGCTAAAAAAAATTGATGTTTTCTTCATTTTTAGAGAACTGCAAGAAGAAAGTGGTCTCACAGTAGATTCTCTTGAGAAGGTCGGAAATATCAAATTTGAATTTGTCGGAGATACGGAGCTACTTGACGTCCATATTTTCAGAGCTGACTCTTATAACGGAGAACCGACGGAATCGGATGGTATGATTTCCATTGCGCCACACCAAACTTTGAAGAGATTAAAGCAGGAACTGTTAAAGGATAATTCCAGCATAATTTCCTTCCTTTGTTCCCTTGTTTTCTGTCTAGTCAGCTACAGTATGTAAAAACAGATTTAACACAATTAGACATGTAACGGTATGAAAATTTAACATCACGATTATAGTGACCAAAATTATCACAGTTATCACAGTATCACAGTACTGCTGACGTGTTGAAAATATTTAAAAAGTACTTGCACTAACCAAAATCATCCATTTAAGATTTTATTTTGAAATCCACAAATAATCTTTATAATCACTATGCATTGTGTGTGCATAAACATTAAATATATAACAGCCAATGGCCACAGCCTTTTGTAAACATAGCAAATATATCAAATGCCTCTCTCTATCTCAAACACACACACATTTATATTCTTCTCTGTTGCATTTGAGTACATAAAAACAAATTAGTCTTAAGAAAACAGTGAAATTAACTGCTAGGAGCCCAAAATTGTACATAAATACAGAGGATTATAATGTTTCTCCTGTTGGAAAAGTTTTTTTTAACCAAATTGACAACTGTTGGATTTCAAATATGTTGGTTGGGTGACTACAATATTTAACATGTTGTGTGCAGTGGGCTAATAGACACACGATGCATACAGCAGCAGGACAACGTGAAGTGTTTTTACAAGACTAGGCAACACTGAAAGCTTAATAACATGTTTTGGAGCATATTTCCAAAACTAATGTCCGAAAAAAGTTACATACTGTAGCTTTAAAAGAGTTACTTTGAAAAGAGAAGTGTAAAGATACTTCATATGCTTTGGAAGTGAAGAGGAACTCTATATATATATATATATATTTGTTGTACTTAATTTCATGTCATCTACATGTAAAAGAAAACCCCCCAATAATCCTGCAAAATTTTCAGTTTTTACTTTTGGTTCCTCTTAATCTTGACTTCCTTTTATATTATCTCAATGCCAGCCCAGAGTCCATGGCAGATAGGGTGAGATAATGAATCTTTTTGAGAATCACAAAATGTTTATGGGTAAAAGTGTTAATACCTCACCATAAAAAGCTCTCTCACAAGTAAAAGTAGTAGTACTGGAGTAAAAATATTCTTGTCTGTATTTTTAAATTGTGCTTTTAATAAAATATTTTACCACTGACTTTGTAGCTTAAACCAGAAAGAATAAAAACACTCAATTACAAACAAAGATTTTGTGCAATGAATACTGCATATGTTTAAACTGATCTGTTTTGTATGTAAAATCTTAATCTGCAGAATAACTAATAACTTTGTCCTTGTGTCATAAATGTAGTGAAGCACTGTAGCAGGAACATGGAATACTTAAGTAATATACAAGTATCTCAGTACAGTACTTGAGAAAATGCACTTAGTTACTTTCCACCACTGCTTGCGAGTGAGTACATGGATCGAGAAGAGATGTGCCTGTGAGCAAGATAAGTTTAAATGAGAAGAATCTGTAAATCTGCTCTGGGTAATAAAAACTAAAAGACGTAACTACACAAAGGACAGAAGAGGGTCTCAGCAGAAGGAATGCTGCAGAGACCTTGCACCGTATTTCTTGAAAATTTTGCCAAGATGAACTGGTTGAAATCCTGAGACACACAGCAAACCACAGCTCATGGAGGAGTCAGACATTAGCACTGAACCCAAAGGTCTGAAAGGTGAGAGGAGTCAAACAACTAGGGAGTGAAGAGGAGGAAAAAAAGTCTGAATGGAAGCTGCTAAAATTCAAACTGAAAAGGGAAGGTGGCTTTGTTAACACTGATTTCACGAGAGACAAACCAACAGCTAAAACCTTTCATAGCTTATTAGGATTTTAATTAAATAAAGGTTTGTGGATTCAAAGACAGTCTGGGGAAAAGACTACATGTCCTTGAGATGGGTCAGAAATACCAGAGCTATGTGATAAACTCAGTGAACAACAGGCACATGGTAAATATGTCTTACTCATGGAATGTCTACTAATTGGCTTTTCTTATTTTCTAGAAATGAGGCCTCAGTGGTTTGAGTGTGACCAAATTCCTTTCAGTCAAATGTGGGTCGATGACATCCTGTGGTTCCCTTTGATGCTTCAGAAGAAAAGATTTGTTGGATACTTTAAGTTTCAGGGTCATGAAGTGATCCTCAGCCACAAACTGGAGGAGGTAGAGGTGCTGTGAGATGAGATAACCTGGATGTTACCAATGTCATTTGTAAACAAACATCAGCCTTTCAGTTTTTTCTTTTAATGCTCAAGATAGCCCAGTGCTGAATGGTGTTCATTTGTGGGAGGAAACAACACGATCCTGAGGGGCCTAACAGATCCACGTCTACTGTTCACCTAGTGCTCACATGTAATATCACATCAGGGTCATTTTTTTGTCAGTCTTTATTCATCTGAAACATTGCCAACATAATCATATATTTTTAGTTATGTCAAATTATTTTTCTGGTAAATTGATTTAATTCACTAAGGATTTATTGTCTTTTATAAAGTATTTACAGTATCTACAGTAATAATTGTATTGGGTTTCATGTCATTTGTCAACTTGATCCCCGATGTACTTTTGCCAAAAGTGTTTCATACTGCATGTACAGTGTTTGTTTCTTCATAAAATACATGTTGAGGTGCGATACTGGTATCGCTCGCTCACATAAACTCAGTCAGTCTGGTGTGCTTATGGCGAAATCAGCTGGTGGCAGTTGTCCTGGTTTTTTTTTTTTTTTTTTTGTCCAGACAAATGTGCATTATTGTTTTCATATATAGAAAAGGAACTCAGCAATAGCAGATTGTATTTGTCCTGCCATTATTACACAAATTTAACCTATGAAATCTGCAGGCGGTGACACAGTTTTCATGCATAGAATGTTAAATCTTAAAGTCCTCTTGTCACATAAAGGTGCTGATTAATGAATTTTTTAATATAAACTGTAGGAATCCTGTTATATGGTTTACTGCACAGATGCTGGAAGTAAATGCATATCCTTTGTCTTTGGTAAATCAATAGCTTATAGTGTTGTTACTGACATACTACTAGTGCCAGAGGTTATCCTTCCATCAGTACAGCTTTGCAGTATTTCTACACTTTGAGTTTAGGCTTTTTATAAAATAGCTTATAATATAAACAGGGAGTCTTCCAAAGTATTTCGGCAGAGAATACTAATATGTTACTAAAGGAAGGCAGGAAGAAATGGCAGTTTTCCATTGACAAAATAAAGTATGTTGCTACACAGCCTTAACCCAAAGTCTGTATCAAATATACATCAGTTTAAACCAAAAAGGAGATTTAAAAATAATCCCATTCCTTAGTAGAGTAAAAAAAAAACCTCTCAGCTATATTAGTGTATAAAATGTATTACAATGTTGTTGCAAACAAGTGCTTTACCAAATAAGTTGAAGTGAATGAACATATTGTCATTGTATCCCTTAGAGGATTATGTTTTCCAAAAGTTGATTTAGAAAGAGCATAACATGACTCATGAGCACACTGTCCCTTCCAGTTAAAGGTCTTACTGTATGTTGACAAAATGACGAAAGCCAATAATTGAGAAGCCACATGAATTAAAATGCTCTTAATGAATGAAATGCATATCGTGTTAGAAAAGATGCAGAAGAAGGAAAAACATTTTTGCATTACTTTTTTTTTTTTTTTTTTTTGCTATAGCTCACAGGGCAAGTTCTTCTCTAGTTTATGATCATCATCAGTGGCAGCATTTCTCTTCTGCATTCCATATATATTTATGTTTCAGATGGAGGTTTTCAATCTGTTATTACCACCAAAGAGACATCCAAGCTTTGGCTGAAGTTCATTCCACACCTCACCCATCTGGGAAAAAAACCAAAAAGTCACTTTTCCTTATCTACATTTCCATAGCAAAATCCTAGAAGAGCAGAAACATACACTGCGCCAAGTGGTTCGTAGGCTTCCAGCCACTAAAAGAGAAACATCTGGGTTTCTTGTACTTCACCTCAAAATGTTCAAATATTGGACATTGGATGAAAAAGGCTAGGTTCAGCTTAAGGTATCTAACCAAAGAAAACGGTGCGCTTTATATGATATTAAAATAGGCAAAGATATATAATTTTTTCAAATGTAAGCCAACCTCAATCACAGATGACCCATTTAGTAACATCATCTATCATTCAGTTATTTTGTACTTTAAAAGCTAATTTTAAAATGATTTGAACCTCCTGGATCAATGCCGTGTTGACATTGAGAAGGGCCTGCAGAAAAATTATTTCCAGATGAGATGTCTCACCTCTCTGTGTCCTTGGACCTGGGAATTAACAAAAGCCCCAAGAATATGGGATGTGATTGGAAGGTAGGTGAAGATAAGCTGTGTTTCTTGATGAAGGCAGAACAGGGAGAAGTAATTACGCAGCTCCATGGTCTGAATGGCGTTTTCTTGCTATTAACACACACAAAAAAAAAACCAACAATGTGAAATAATGATCACATCAGATGATGATAAATCAGAAAAAAAAACTGTGGCCTTCAAATTTTAATTTTTGCACACAATCCAGTAACAGAGGTCATGTAATGATACCAGAGATAAGATGAAGATGACAAAGCTCTGCTCACGTTACCAAAACAGGGAGAGGCCCAGGATGTTTTCATTACATTTTAGTTAGCTTTAGAACAAACTCACAACTGAACCACAGCTTAATCCTGTTCACCACAATCACAGAGCAGTCACAGTTATAGAACTCTGCAGTAAAACTACAAGCCAGGGTGCATTCATCTCAGCAGAAAAAAAAAAATTTTAGCCATGCTAGCCGGAATGTCGCTCTACGTTGTGATACTTTGTGCCATCTTGATCCCCCCCCGCCGAACTTTTACTCTAGCTCCACCATAAGACTGACATATTTTTATATGTAACATCTCAACAAGTATTGAAATGTGATACACTTTCATGTTGCCCTCAAAATCTACAACACCTTTTCTGTTGAAGCACCAAAACGCTTCATGGAAAGGGACTTTGTTTTAAGAAGCTGAATCACTGTTGATAACATGGCTACAAAGGTGGCCAGCAGCTGTTTGAGCTCAATCTGCAGGTGCACTGGTTAAAATATATATACACAAATATATTACATACTGTTAAGGCGAATGGAATTGAAACATATGACTACAAATGCCAAACACTGACAAACCACACAAGAGGAACTGCAATCATAAGATGAAACCCAACAATAGTCTGCAATAAGATAACAGTCTGTTAAATGTCAGAAAACCCTCATTTGATGAAGTTAATCATCAACTTGCAGTAGGTTATTTTATCTGCAGCCCTACAGTGAAGATTTCAACTGAATTAGACCGCAAGAACAAAATTAAGGGTAAATGCCACAACAAATATACTGCAAATAGACATTAGTAGTGCTTAGGCTCAGACTTTATGAAATGATATAAATTAGATTTAGAAAGATCTTATTGTTATCGATTTCACTTCTTAAAACTGGACATATGAAAGTGTGAGAATTTTTGGCAATAATCATAAATTAGGATCACACTCAGTGACAGGAAATCACTATTCTGCAAGAAGACTGAACATTTTCAGGAAATCTGGTCTTCATCAGTGTCACAATCTCACAGTAAAACTGCTTCTTTAAATGTTAAACACAGGTGAAACCTCTTGAGTTAATCAGTCTGCGCCTGGTTGAGTAATCTTGGAAAGGAAAGCCAAGTTCTTAGAACAGAAGTGAGAATATAGTCAAACCCATGTAAAGCTAAACAGCAGGCTTTCTCATTTAACTGCATCAAAAAAAAGCACTGATGTCATTTGAGTTCATGCATGCACTGCAATCACAACATCAGGTGTGTAACCGTTCATCAAGCAGTAAATATCTGAGCTCAGCAACATGAACACTGTATGTTTATAGAAAAATGATTTGATTACATTCTTCATTTAAACCATTAGAATACAGAGTTTTGAGGGCATATATCCAGAAATATTCCCATTTTAATAAATGATGATTCTTGTGAGCTTGTTCAATGCCAGTACATTTGAGATCTTCAATTTTGTGTACAAATTCCATAGTGTATCGCTACTGGTGAAGTAGCATCTTTTCTTCTAATACAACTACGATGTTCAGTAGGTGATGTTTTGAGTATATGTGAAGTCTTTCTGACATATTTACAGGAGCAAAACTAATGTATGTGCCATTATATCTTGTTTTGACATCGGTGCTTTTTTGATGCATTTAAATAGGAAACATTTAAATGGGCTTTACATGGGTTTGAATATATTGTCAATTTTACCTGTGGTCTAAGAACTTGGCTTGTTTTATCCACAATTCCTTAAGCAGGTGCAGACTAATTCACTCAAGAGTTTTCACTTGTGTGCAATGTTTAAAGAAGCAGTGGTACTGTGAGACTGACACTGATGAAGGCTGGCTAAAAATGTTGTCTTCTTTTTGAATAAAATGACTTCTTGCCATTGAGTGTGATCCTAATTTACGGATACTGGATAATACTACTGGGATAACACACCAATTTTGCCCGAGCGCAGTGGAATCCGTACATAAAGATTTTTGGTACAAACCATAAAAAGTAAATCCCTCTGACGTCGCCAGATATCTCCCATCACTGTCATTTTAACTGTTTATTGTATGAGTGCACTGGCTAGAAAGTTACACTTGTTAAACAGTTTGTGTATGGTTTCAAGATTTTGCCCCACTCAACCAAAACAGTATGTTACAGAGCAGGGACCATCCTGAGGGATTTAAGAATGTGGAAGGACAGAAAGAGAATGACTACCTGAACAATCCGTGATTCGAGCTGCTCCACAGAGGCCTGCTCTTTGGGCTGAATGGTAGCGCTCATCATCTGCCTCTTCATTACGCTGTACTTGTGTAGAGCTTTCTGGTGCTCATGGAGCACACCCTTCTCATGGCGTTCACAGAGGTCCTGGAGAAAAACACAGTCGCTTAACAGCAAAATGGCACGGCACCATGGTGTATAAACATACATAACAGTAGATAATTGGAGAACTGTTTGTAAAATTGTGAGATTATCGTATGTTACAGTTAACCGCTTTAAGGGATTTAGAGGATATTATCTGCCCACCAGTCACGTTATTAAATTTGAACAATCCACCCACTACTAAAACAACATTTCCAAGTGTGATTCACTTACTCTGTTTGGAACAATATGGGCACTGCTGTTAAAATTGATCATTACATAATATCTTGAATTGAGACACTAACTAAACCCAAATCAGCTGTAAGTATTTAGTTCCTTGTTATGTCTTTCTATCAGAGAACAAAAGTACATTTTTGTTGCCCTCACAGGTAAAAACAGTTTTGCTGTTTCATACAATAAGCAGACCTTAGTGTATGAAGTGAAACATCCAAACACCTGTTGGTATAAACTCATGTCAAATGAGCACAGCAAAAAAACTAAAGTAAAACTGACTCACTCTGTACGACTGCAGCAAATCCAGGAAAAGATTCAGCTTTTCCACAACATCATCCTCTTCTCGTCTGCCCTGAGGACATCATCATCAAAGCAACATTCATTACCCCAGTGCCAGTTTTGGACAAGCACAGCGGAGCAGGTGGTGTGAATGAAGGACTGAGGGTTGTACCTGCTGAGCAGCTTTGTCAGATAGCACACCGAACTCCACAGACAGACTCTTCAAAGACTGACGCAGAGTCCCCCAGGTGATTTGTGAAGAGGCCAAGGAAGGAAGAGATGAAGTATCTGAGCCCAGTGTACTGCAGAAAACAGCATCATTACAGGGACAGAATGTACTATTGTTGTAGCTGCCAAACTCATTTCAAGCTAACAACTACAAAGAGACGCAACAACACGGAGGAGGATTTGAATCCTATTATGACAGAATTTGTTTTCTCAGTCCAAAACCTCTTGATACAGAAAGACTTTAACTTTATACCCATAATAATAAAATACCTGAGCTCTTTGCCAAACATGAGGAGATCAGCTGCATTCTCTTTAGAGCGCTCTGCCATTTTCTCAGCTCGGTCCCGCAGCTTCAGGAAGCTGTTGTGGATGTTTCTAATCAGCTCTCTGCTTGTCGAGAACTGAGTCTGAATATCAGCAGGGAGATATTCCTGAAAAAGAAATCCATGAACTTTTTAAATGCAGGTAAATATTTGTGGGAGGCTTTAGGGATTTTTCCATTGTGCATTTAAGGCAAACCTTTGCTTGGGTTGCAATTCTGTTGGTCATGAATTCATCACCCATTTTCTTGTAAGTATCACGCAGCTTGGTCTGAACATCCTGTTTGAGAAGAGGGGAACAGTGGAGAGTTGTTGCAACAGGAAGCCTCTAATTGTCAGTCATCATGATGATAATGCCTATTATACAACAGCTGAGACCACAGAATCAGGCAGCTACATACAGAGCCACTGAAGGTGAGGAAGGTCTTGACCAACTCATCCTCTGAGAAGAAGGGGTGGCGCGCCACCAAGTTAATGAATCTGCCAAGAGCACGCCTCCTCCCCTCAATGAACTCCCGCTCAGAGATGGAAGTCAGGACTGTGAACAGATACCAGAGAGAACAAAAATGAGAGTTGGTACTATAAACTATAATATATAACGAAGCGTTAGCATAGTCGGAGTTAGCAAAGTCAATTCATAATGTAGTATGCTTTTTAAATAAACCAAACATCAAAGGAGAACCACATGGATTTTACACAGAGCTAAAAGTCTGTTTAAAGTTGTATATAGCCCTTTATGGCTCCAGGGGGGTGTGCAAAGTTTTAGCAATTGCCTCAAGTGATGTCACTTGAGTCAGCGTCAGTTGGTGCTGAGATTTTGAAAATGAAACACACACATATACACACATATATATA